GTTCTGGGTAAAACCAACGAGAACCACGTTATTTACGACGCTTCCGCAAAACCACCCCTGCACGGAGCAAAAAACAGATGCAAACCGCATTCGCATGGACGTTATCACCCTCCCTCCCCCACCCCCCCTCTCCCCACCTTGCACGGAAGTAAAAAGAAGCACAGACACAGCAAGTCCAAAGAAGAAAGCAGCCGACAAAAAACACATCGAAGTCCAAGCTGCCACGCGCGAAAAGTCGAGATTTGGCACAGTGCAGCCCTGAAATGGAACATGTTTCTTTTTCAGGAAAACACCGCAAAAACCGATACGAAATGCAGAGCGGAAGTGCTGGGTCCGGACAGCCATGAGCCAAAACTCGAGTGTTAATGACATTGCAGCCTGGAAAACGAGACAGCCCCCGCGGCGGCACAACCGGCGAGTGGGGTGCGTGAAGGGTCCTTCAAGTTTGGCGTGATGAAGATGCTGCTTGATGCCTGTGCTAGTACTGGGGTTAGGGGGAAGACTTGCAGAAGGATGGTTCTCAGGTGTGCCCCAGGACGTGTATCAGTGTATGTTCTGGGTCGTGCCCTCATCCTCCTAGCCTCCTGCTTCGATTTTAATATTATGGCGCCTCTTCCGTTATCATAGTTCTTGCGCCAACTTTCGCTTCATCATTTACCAATCAACGCCGCCCATGCAATAGACCGTTGGTTTCGGCGAACTGGCTGGAAGGCGAGGCGAGTCCGGCAAGCTCTTCTGTTTGATGAGGTCGCCCGCTTTGTTGAGCAAGTCCTCAAGGCGATTCACGAACTTGCACCTATCCATAACTCTGGTTGAAATGGTTAAAGTGCTGGAAACATTGTCGTCAACTTCTCGTCGGTGACGCTGTTCTTTCGGACTGCTCTTTGCCGCTTGGATGATAAACTTGACTTGCTGAATGGTCTTGTGGGGCAGGGTTGTTGATGTTCTCAAGGCGAAGGGAGTTTTCATCGATGGCCTTTTGTCGTCATCGTAGCATCAGTTTCTGTCGCCGTTTTCGCTCGCTTGCCTCCTCCTCGAAACAGAGGAAGAACAACCAGACCATCTTCAGTGCACAAACTCTGAATCGTCTCAAGCAGCGACAACGATAAAGGAACATTCTTTACCTTGACGATGGCGCTGTTGATGTTGATTGCACCGTTGCTTGCCTCACTCAAGCAGTTCAGTAGGTCTGCCGAAGTCGTAGAGGCATCGCGATGGAAGAACAAAGCCTTCGTCGGTTCCATCATCGGAACATACGCCGAGGTTCGCAAGTCGCCACTTCCAAAGTGCAAAACACCAACCTCTGAAACACGCGCTTCCTCACCATCGCTCTCATCAAAGAAACCCTCCTCGTCGTTCTGCTTGTCGCCGTTCTGCTCGTCATCGTTCTGCTCGTCATCGTTCTGCAGATTGTTGTTGCCACGAAGAACAGCACGCGCCTGTTGTGACTCACGCCAAGCAAATAGAAACTGGTCTGCCAATTGCTCTTTAGTGTTCGTTGACAAACTATACAAGCCGAGCAGGCTATACATCAACTCCAACATCTCAGCCTTCTTGAGGTCCAGGAGTAGGTCGGGAAGTCCCGCAGTCGTTCAAGATCAAGCGCTCTATGTTCTCATTGTTGATGAGGGCGCCGAGCCCCACTTCCAAGGCAACAAAGTCATTGCCACCTCTCTTGTAGAAGACGAGAGTTATTGTTGAGGACTTTGTGCGAAAACGGAGACTTCAGACTGTGGCTTTAGACAGGCTTGATTAACCAAGAAAGCGTTGTGTCAAGAACATCTTTGCAAAACGAAATTGCGAAGGGCAACTCCCGACTCAGGGCTTGGGTGGGTTTACCTTAACCCCAAATAACCCGGCGTTTGAAGGACTTATTTAAAGAATTCAAAACAAGGAACTGTAAAAGTTGAAGAATACTTTTCTCAGCTGTTGTGTGCAAGGTGTTCGTACGCATTCAAAGTGCGTAAGCTTCTCCAAAGCATTACAGCGAAGATCTTCCAACATACTGGTTTTTAAGGCATCTAAGGCCTCATTTGTAACAAGTAGTCCACCTTCATCATCCTCGTCATCGTTGTTGTCCTCCTTGATGTTGGACTTGATAGTCGCCTTCTCACCCTTAGTGTCAATCAAATCATCTGGGGTCTGATGCTCATCAGGGAAAAGGATGTGGATTGTGATGTTGTCCTTGACGAGGAAAATCTTAAAACTGGCACGACCGCGAATGCTGAAAGCATCGCCCTCAATCTCACGCATGATGCTCACAGATTTTATCTTCTTTGCTGTCACGTCATCAAACGACTTATTGGCGACCTTTGCCTTAAAGCCTTAAAGGCTGGAGCACGAAGGTTGTCCTTGAATTGGAGGGACTTGGTGAGTTCAACCTCAGCATGGTTCTCCTTCTGATACACAAGCGTGAACACCAACGTCTTCAGAGCACCTTTTGTTTTTGCCACCCGTCTCCTTCAAAAGGTCATCAACCATCTTAATCTTCCCCACATTCTCAGCCAAAGCAAACTGGATTGTCTGCTTCTCCTCTGTGAATTTGTCTTTCATGAAAACATTCACGTTATGGTCATACTCGGCGACCTTTGGCTTCTCCGCTTCTAACTTGAGGAAGCGTGTGGTAGCCTCCCTTTAGTGGCATTGCTCACATGGACACAGTCTGTCATTGAGGAAACTCAAAAGCCGATTTGCTTTGTTCATAAAACAAATCGCTCGAAATTCGTGCTTTCAAGCAACCTGCAGTCAAACAGAAATAAGCGAGGATGGAAGACCTTGCTGTCGTTGTTGAAGACGATGAAGGTGACCAACAGTCTAAATCGTGAAAAAACATCAAAGCACAAAAACCCAGACAATAACTATATTGCACGTATCTAATGAAGGATGAAAACGATGGAGGGGGAGATTTATGATAATGAAAAGAGAGGCACTAAAACGATGGGAGAAAACGAAGTATGCGACGATGAAGCGGATGAGGCACATTATGAAACGAAAGAGGGGACGAGAAATGATATAACGGAGGAGGTGCGGCTTATGACGAAAACGAAGCAGCAGGCTATGATATGAAACGGATGAGGGGCCAGGAGGATACAGGGCACGACCCCGAACATAAACTGATACACGCTCTAGGTCACTAGGGCCACCTGAGAACCATCCTTTTACCAATTTGACAGGGTGGGGGCGGCTGGGGGGGGGGATGATACCGTGCCGTCTGACCTCTGTGCAGTGATCCGTTTCCGTAATTTTCCGTATGTCATGACGCATATGAACCAGCATTGCGACGGCGACAAAGGCCGTCTCCGCAGTGACACGTCTTACCAGAGCATCTGTTTGTCAAAAACAGTGTTCGGCTCACAAAGATCCATGTTATGTGTTAACAGCACCTTCCACAAGCCCCACGTCTGTCAGTTGCAAGACCCAAGTGTGTAGGCCTTCAACCCTGGAGAAAAGCCTGCACAAATGCAGCGATTTCGTGCAGTGACTTCGTCGATGCTCACCGACACAGAAGCACACGGGGTTAGCTTGTGTGTTCTCTGTCTTGGAGATCAAAGTTGGCAGCAGCTCAAACTCCCGATGGTGCTTGGGCACACTTCAAGAAGTAGTCGCTTTCTCGGCGTGCTATCAAAGATCGCAGGCACCAAGACCTATCATCCCGATATCTGGAACAATGCTTTCAGTTATGCCTAGGGACACAACTTTGTGTGCCTGAACGGGCACTTGGAGACGGCTTTGGTAGAGGCTGTCCACACGCAGTGAATCATGTTCGTGTTTCATTGCTGTGCCTGTCAATTACCGTGCAGAAAAACCTCATATTTCTAGGCAAGACAGCAAAAAAGCAAACTGCATGGATGCAAGAATCACGACATGAGGAACAGGAGCAGAAACCCTCAACCATCCTAAACCCTAAATTAAAAACTCTTATAAGCTGGACCGATCAAAAAACATGAAGCGAACCACCGCTGGCTGCCACTGCTTTCGAGGCGCAGGGCTTCAAAGGCTTTAGGCCCACTGTTCAAAGCATAGCATAGGGATGGGAACATCGAGCAACAATATCTCTTCATACTATAACCCATCTACAACTAGACAGTGTTATCTCCCCCACCACCACAAACAAACAACCAATATATGTATGTATATATGTATACACCTTTACATATTTGAGTTCTTCAGGGCCGATATTAACTCGCTTCGAGGCACCATCGGCGCTGCCATGAAAGATGCAGGGACGACCAGGGTTTGCATCAAGAACTGCAAGGTCGAGGTCAGGCGCGTGACGCAGGAGATGGCCTGAGCGTTGAGGGTTTAAAGTTTAACAATATAGTAGTAATACTAACAGTAGCAATGAAAATACAAAAAACAAGAATAACAGGAATAGTACTAAGAAAAATACCAGTTTAGTAGCATAAAGCTGCAGCGTGCTTCTGCATGCATGCATGAGCATATCGACTCCTTTGCATCTTAAATATCTGTACTACGTGATTGCCAGCGAATCAAACAAAACTAACATACTACTAAAACGCTCATCTCTTCCTGCGCTTATCTGCTCGCAGGGACACAAAGAGGGATGGGTGGAGGATAGATGAACATAAGGACGTACCACAAATTTGTGTATGAAACATATGTGTGTGTGCATACATACATATCTATAATATATATATATATACACACGTATATATATATATATATGTATATATATATAGAGAGAGAGAGAGAGAGCATACAATATCTACATATAACTGCATGCATAAAGTATAATATCTATATTGAGATATATACACATGCATAAACATTTGTGTATGTATAGATATGTATATATATATATATGTATGTATATGTATATGTATATGTATCGGTTGGTGTACTTTGATCATTGGATTGATTAATTGATCTATAGGCAAGTATACCAACCCTCTACGAGTCAACGTTGCAAAGTTCTCGCTTCGCCTTCGAACATCTGAAAACTCGGTGCTCAACTACGCTAACGACGCTCTCCGTGGCGGTTTCGGGTGTAGTGTTTAGGGATAAACCCAGAAACTACTTGAGGGTTTAGGGTTCAGGTTTGGAGATAAACCCAGAAGCGACTTGAGCGTTTAGGGTTTGGAGCTTACTAACCTGGACTACAAAAAATTGGCAGAAGAGTGGCCCGGGCCATTCTGTTACTTACTTTTGGGGGTTTAGGTCGACTGAAGATATTTGGGCCATTATGTTACCTACTTTTTTTTTTTTGGGGGGGG